CCACATAAACCAGAGACTTCATCAGCCTGAGACCAGAAGAACTAGATGGTGCCCGGCTACCACCAATGACCACCCTGACAGGGAACACAACATAGAGTCCTGGATGGAGCAGGAGAAACATACATAACAATGTATGTATAAATTTTTGTATCGGAAAAAAGAAATTACCTAACACCCATGAAAAGACCCAGCCTTAGGATGAAACTAGTACTACACATGGCAAAAATAAAGAAACTGGGTCCCTGAAGACATCAGTGAGCTGCTAGATCAACCAACCTCAAAGTCCAGCCTAAGGATGGACCTTCCAATTACATGAGTCAACTAATTCCCTTACTACCTGAACTGTCTAAGCTAGCAGAATTGAATTTTCTGTGACTCACAAACAAACATAAACCAAATGATGCTTTCCATCACTGTTATCACTTCCCTTCCCTGGGGAAGTGCAACTGGAAAGACAATGGAAGGGAGGGGAGGGAAAAGCATTGTTTGTAGGAGAATGTCTAGGACCATGTACACTCCAAGAAATCAGACAAGTCCTATCTAGAAGATTCTGAGACTCTGAAACTTAGAAATTCTCTCCTCATTTGTCCGTATGAGTATTTTTTATCTTTTCACTGCTAGTAGATCCTTTTTAGAAATGCAAAGGTTAAAATGCTTGTTTCAGAGACAATCGAACTGGAAAAAACCTGGATAATATTCCCTGTGCCATTAATCAAGGAAGGAAAGGAATCTTGTGTGAAAACAATGCAGTAACAGCACAAATGAAAATAGGCAAGCCAGTCCGTGAGAATAAACGGGAAGCTAGCCCATGATACACAAAGCAGACCCAAGCTCCATGGCTCCCCATGCCCAGTGTCACCTCAAGGAGACACCAATTTCACCTAAGTGTGACAGTCGTATTCCTACTAACCAGCAGGTACAGAGCTTGGGAAAGGAGGAGTTCCCGAGTCACTGTCCTGGCTATGTTCCTGGCATCTCAGAGCATGGAAAGCAAGGCATTGCTCACTATTTCCCTCATCCCTGCCCCCAACTTGCCCAGAGGTGGAGGAAAAGGATAAGTGGTTAATTTCAAAGAATCAATTTGAGAATAAAAAGTGAAGAAAATATCAAGAAACAGTGAGACGAAAGGTATGCATTTATCAGCATGTAGGCTCTAAATAAAGAGAAACTATACTGTAAACAACTGGCAAACAGTAAGTTAATATAAATGTAATACACAGCTGTCAAAAGATATGGATTGGATAATATTGTTTATCACAAGAGACAACATATAAGAAAATATACTTTTAGACAGGAATTTGTAGAAAAGATATTTAATATGAACATGAGAATTTAATCAAATCATATCCCTCTGAGATATCTGATCTCAAATGACATTCTGAACCTTATGTCCATTACATACTATTGCCTGACCTCAGCCACCTCCACTCTTTTGCTCAGATTATTCACTCAGCTTATAATGCTGCCCTACCCCTGCCTTACCACCATTCACCACCATTTCCACAAACTAAGAGTCACCTCTGTCTGCTGAATAACTACAGCATATTATCTGTCATGGACTGAACTGTGTCCCCCAAAAATATCTGTCAGCTTGGCTGGGTCATGATTCCCAGTACCGTCTGACTGTGTAATCTGATGTGATTTCCTTATGTGTTGTAAACTCTATCACTATGATGAGGTTATACGTGATCTCCTTATGTGTTGTAAATTCTAACACTGTGATGAGGTTACACTGACGAGGTTTACAAGATTGGATACTGTCTTAATCCAATCTCTTTTGAGATATAAAAGAGAGAAGCGAGCAGAGACACATGGGAACCTCACACCACCAAGAAAGCAGTGCCAGGAGCAGAGCGCGTTCTTCGGACCTGAAGTTCCTGCGCTGAGATGCTCCCAGACCAAGAGGAGACTGATGCATCACAAGGACCTTCCTCCAGAGCCAACAGAGAAGACAAAGCCTTCCCCTGGAGCTGACACCCTGAATTTGGACTTGTAGCCTACTGGACTGTGAGAGAACAAATTTCTCTTTGTTAAAGCCATCCACTTGTGGTATTTCTGTTAGAGCAGCACTAGATAACTAAGACATCATCCATATCCCCTTACTGACCACTTAAAACTCAGTAATCCTGTATTTTAACCCTATGTTAAAATACATAGGGTATTTTGTACTGACCGATTTTCACGTGACTTTTATTATGAGTTACATTATGCAGGTTTGGGGTATGCCGTCCAATACCCATAAAATAAAATGTATCTCTGTAATTTAAAAATAATTCTTACTCAAATAATTTCTTTTTAATCTCTAAACCAGGTGACATCAGGTAGATTCTGACTCAAGGCAACCTCACGTGTGTAGAGTAGAAATGCTCCATAGGGTTTTCAATGGCTGATTTTTCAGAATTAGATTACCAGGCCTTCCTTCTGAGGCATCTCTGAGTGGACTCAACCTCCAACCTTTCGGTTAGCAGCTGAGCACATTAACCATTTGTACCAGCCTTTTACTCTCTAGTCTCACTAAAATATGACCAATTAAACTATGAGTTGCTTGAGTATGGAGGCTGTACATCTTATACATACTTGTATCTTCCACTGTGCCAGACTGCACCTGAGACATGGTTGGCAATCAATGGAGATTTGTAGAATAAAAACAATATCCATCTGAGTGACATAAAAACCTTCGAACAGCTTCTACTTGCCTTTCATAATTTATATCCTATTACATATATTCACACGGACACACATACATACGTACCTTATTCTTTTACTGGAATATATGCTCCATAAGAGCAAGATGTATGTCTCATTCTTTGCATCTCTTAAACTTCTGGTACAATGTACCATATATACATTTAAATAAACATTTGATGAACTGAATCAGAGATTCATGGCTGTCCACACAATAACACGTAGAACAGAATCACGGATTGTTCAAAAGATATTTCTGCAAATACACACCCATCCAACTCCTACCCGCCCCGGCCCCCAAGGGTGGGTGCAGGTAAGAGGGGCTGCAAGGAAAGGGAGGACGGCAACTTGACCCTTCCCAATTGTATTTCACATAAGCTTATAATATCTAAATGCATTTTCAGTCCTTTCATATATGGTGGCTGGCCAAAGAAATACATTTTCTATTTAGGGAAGCAAATCCAAGATTAAAAAAATTCAGCGGGTAATCCTACAATGTGAAAACAGCAAAACCTGTAATTTTGCCAATTTTTACTTTCTTTGGCATGTTTAAACAGATATTTTTTAAAGTTGGCCTTAATGAAAAGACGTGAATCCCTGCTGGTAAGCACAAGCTCTATAGTTTCATAGGTGAAATGACTACTGTTAAGTGCTTTAGCAGAGCCAAGCTCCTCCATGTGACTGCTCTTCAACCACAGACTTTAAATTTCTGGTCAAACAATTTATACTTATGAAATTGGGGAGGCTGTTTCATAGTTTCCATATTTTATTCACTCAGA